CATACCAACCATATTCTCAAAAAATGTCAGCATTTAATTCATTGGTCCATAGGATATTAACAGTTCCGTTAAACGCAGTAAATTATGAAATTGAATACAAAACTATAAAACATATAGCCTATAGCTACAGTCAATGGTTATAAAAGCGGTTTAGTAGATAGGCTCATCACAAAACATAACAATAAAAACAAACAAGGTGTAAAAATTGACAGCTCAGAGAAGAAAAAATATGTCTGCAAGGAATATAGTCACACTATCCAACAAGCATTAAAGAAAGAACTCGCTAAACAAGGCATTGAACTAGCCTTCAGAACTACAAACCATACTAGAAACGTGTTGACGAATAAAATTGAGATAGGTGACAAAATAGATAAAACCGGCGTGTATAGGATATCTTGTCCGGATTGCCCAAGTAAATACATAGGTCAAACAGGCTGTGCCTTCCAAACACGATATAAAGAACACCGACCAGATCCTAAACACCATAAACAAAAATCTGCGTTTGCTCAACACCTTGCTGATTGTAATCACTCTATGAGTGAAATTATGACCGGCTTGGAAGATTTACATTATTGTGGGAAAGGTAATAAGTTGGACACACTTGAGGAGTATGAAATATATCAAATGAACATAAACTGAGAACATAAGGAATACATCCTCAACGATAAACTACAGTTCAAGTGCCACTCCCTCTTCAACACTGTTATCTAATCTGGAACAGCTGACCACCGAGCTGATAACAGAGAAGGACGAGACGAAGTTACATAACCCGTGTCCAGTCTACCTACAACCGCTGCCGTGCCGTGTCATGATAGCGCTATCGTGTTATTTCGTGTTTAAATGTTCTGTGTCCCGTGTTGTATTTTATGTTTAAATTATTTGATGTTTTTGACGTAAAGCTCCGACGATGTTGCAGTGCAATGAAACATGTCAGCTTTGATCAACATTACCTAGGCCTAGTTGAAATAAGACACTTAATTTTGGACTACTAACGGAGGTAAGACTATAAAGAAATATAATAACAAACGGAGACCCGAAAAAATTGAAAACCGTACAGTGTTAGTTTGTGTTGTAAAAAGTTATAGGCCTATAATATATGTGTATAGTAATAATGATATATCATGTTTGTAAAGCTAATGAAGTACGGTAAGGAACCAAAAAAGAATCATAAAGTTTATAATGATTTTTTATTTATGAATAAAATAATGTTTTTATAATTTAGCAATTTTGTGAGAAAAAAAATTCATAGGCTAGTATTTAGTATAAAACTTTTGTAGGCTACCAAATGTTTTTACTTCAAAACCAACATAGCCTTAACATCTTGTAGTCCGTATTCAATTACCTACCGGTACATAAAAATGTATATAAGTTACCGGTAACACGTTGGTTAACAATTTTTGTTTTTACGAGCTATGGGCATAATAATATAAATAAACGGAAAACTGCAAAATACAACCGCAAGAAAACTCCAACCTTTTGTAAACACAATTTGACACTATTCAGTAAATATTCATGCATAATAAAATGCACTTAAGATTACTACTGTTATATACACATACACATTTCTCAAAAAATACGAAATAATAACGAATTTAATCAATCGCGGATAAAACAAGAGCGAAAACTCACTGGCAACAACACGCAATGGCTAATACAAGACACTTTGTGTATGAGACCTTGACAGTAGTGACACACTTTTGTCGTCTTAGTGAGAGAAAACGGGAATAACCCTGAGCGCAGGGCTGCCACTATCACAAGCTACATTTCTTCCTCTTCAAAATAACATATTATATGACTAGAGTAATAATAACTTACACTGTATGTAATTCGTATTTTCCATACCGTCCCTTGTGATGGTATAGGCCATTTGTTATAAATTTCGAAAACAGCTGTTTTCATAAAATCGTACCAGTTGTCCAATCAATATTTAGTTCTAAATATAACTACCACAATGAAGATAAAATCAATGGCTATCCAGTGGTACCACCCGCAACATCCCAGGACAAAAATTACCCAAGCAGGGTAATGCCAAACAAGACGTGTTTTGCCAGTTCCGAAGTGTCGGCTGCAAAAGTCGTGCCGCGCCAAATATTCATTTGATTTCTAATCGTCGTGACATTGTTACCGATTGCTACCGTCACCCGGTGACGGTGGCCATTCTAAGCATCATTGGCAAACCGTCATCCGGTGACGGTTGGCCACTGCTAGGGTTAAATATCCCAGTTAGGCTTCTTAACTAAGTTAGGTTTCTTAACTGGGCTATGCTCATATTGATTGAAACTATCGAATTGGAAATATTGATTTATAATCAATATTTTTAAATAGCCTAAGTTATATCTATTATAAAATAAAACTGTCATAACCTAACTTAACCTAACCTACCAAACTTGCTGATGGTGAAAAAAATCGCATGAAGGACTAATCGAATCGATAGTTTCAATCAATATTAGCATAGCCCAGTTAAGAAACTGTACCCTGGGAATTTACCAATTAGGGACTTAGGCCTACTGTAAGTTAAGTTATTTTATTCAAAATTTCCTTCTTGTCTACAAAATGAGCATGTATATTTCTAAGTTATCGTAAGTAGTTAAGACACTGCAAATTAAAAAAACAACCTTGTGAGATCACAAAAATGACAAGCCGGACATTCGTCCAAACCATCAGGGCAGTCCTAAGTTTAGGGTTAACTGACTCAAGGTTAGATCCATCATCTACCTTCTTTGTTGCTTTGACAGGGGGGATTCCTAATTGGTAAGGCTCAAGGCTCGGTAACACTGGCCTAATTGTAATAATTAGGATAGGTTAGTAAACTTAGGGCCTAGGCCTACCTACTAAGTTAATAATAAGCTTAGGCCTACCTGTATTACTATGGCTTATAATAATTCCCAAGCCAACAATATACGGCGATTTGCTGTCCAAATAATTAAACAAAGAGTATGCCATTTTACTCTGTCAATTGGTACCATTCTTAAAGATTAGTTGGCCTGACATTGTTATTCTTTGGAAGAAAATCGTCTTGGATAGCCCTATACTTCACTAACATTTCTTCTTCACACTTTAGAACTAAACAAAGGTCTAAACAATCAAAATTGTGTTTAATTAATCTACGAAGTTGTCAATGAAGATCAATTATTGTAGTTATTTACACAACGTTAAATGAATTGTTATTAATAATCAGACACCATAACAATCAGCACAAGATCACCGATCCTTTACAGAAGAGACGCCATTTTCTTCTTGTTTCTTGTCCGAAAGACCGAAAATAGAATTTCGTTCGAAGCGGATTGAAATGGAAAATAGACAATCGCCTGTGCGTTTTGCGTGAATGTGACGACTGCGGACTGACGAGGCTCCGCTGAAGGGAGGAGAAAAAGAACAATAAAGAAAGAACGAACTGAACCAACGAAGCGAAGCACTGAAGCACACGACACAAAGGAAAAAATACCCCCGCCGCAGCAATCCTGCCGACTAAGCGAATTTCCATTTGTCTGAATTGATTTTCAGTTAAATATATTTTAATAACATTATGTTTAACGAGTACCTAGGTTTGCTGCTACAAGGAAACTAACAAAGTGTGTTTTTGAGTAAAATATTGATAGCTTAGTACAAAAAAATTTGCCAAGTTTGATCAAAATATATCCATAAACAAGCAAACTACAACATTTGACCATATTCTCCATAAGAATAACATGGGAATTTTAAATTTACATTTTTTTTATTTTCTCCGTTATTAACAATCGAACAAAAATACTTTTATATACTAAATTATTTGTTTTTTTAAGCTCTTTAAAAAGGTCTAAAGAGAAATTGGGAAATTTTGTGTTTTGAGGGTCAAAAGTGAGAAAAACCAATTTTTACCCCATAAAACCCCCCGTAAAGCCCCGTTCCCATGGTCCGATCGTGCTGATTCGCGAACTCATTCAAGTTTATCCCGCTTTACACCTTTAAACCAAATTTCATCAAAATCGGACAAAAATTACTCAAGTTATCGCGTTCACGGACGTATATATATATATATAAGTCTATATATATATATATATATATATATATATATATATATATATATACATATATAAAAATTTGAACGAATGGTGTTTTTGGCCTCTGGGGACATCAAAATGAAAAAGTAAATCGGTCCCGGGTCTAGGTCTTACTGTGCCACCTACGGTAATAGCTACTTCCCTATAGGGAAATTCGCTAAAAGAAAGAAAGTGGGTATCTGAACTGAGAAATATTGCTCAGAAATAATAAATTGTTGTCAGAAATGAATTAACACTATTCCTTCACTCTGCTCTTGTGTCTACAAACATGATTGTATTTCTTGTAAAATTGTGAATTAATAAAAATAAACTTGATGGCGTTCGCAGACGCGTCCACAACATAACATTGAATGGAAACCCATCAACGAATATGCCGTCGTCCTGTCCTTCACCGTAAAGCTTCAAAATCATTTGACCTACAATTTCATATAGGGAAAATTTTGAGGCCGGGTAATTTTTAGGAATATTACAAAATTGTTTCTTAGAGAAGAGAAACAATTTGTCAATAACACAGACATGTTATTATGGATTTTTTGGGACCTGAATTCACACTTAAAGCTTAAAACCTCTGGGATGGTATAATATTTATTTAATTTCAACGCCAGTTGCGTCATGGTCACTCCCCAATACTATTAATCAATGGTTTTACAGTTAAAAGACTGGATAGTTCGTGAAATGGCAACCGTGGCAACCCTGCTGACCAATCCGGCGGGAATTCGTAAACATCTTTTTTTAAATAATAACAATAACAAACCGAGCGAGACAACTCAGACGGGATCGTAATCGTAAATACAGTTTGCTTTGGTTATTTTACATTATAATTTTATTCCAGACCTTGATTATTCTTTTTTACAGTTTTCTGTCTGTTTACCTTATTTAGACTTAAGCCTAAATAAATTTTACAATTTGTTAAAACCATTAAGTTATTAAACCATTAAACCAGTTCTTCATGAAGATGACCTAGGCCTAGTTTGAGAAATAAATACTCAACTATTTTAACTCAAACACATTTTCTCAGGGAAACATTATTTTAATAACATAAAGACCTTTATATTTCCTATGCTTCATTGTATTACTTTTATGTACCACTGATAGCTGTTGCACAAAAATGTCTTCAAGGCCTGTAATCAAGAAATTGGATGAAACGGTTGTCAATAGAATTGCAGCTGGAGAAGTAATACAAAGACCTGCCAACGCAGTTAAAGAATTACTTGAAAACAGGTTTGTATAATTGTATCATTTGGTTCAAACTAACTACAACCTAACCCTACTCCATTTTTGCCTTGTCATGTCACATTATTCAATACGTGAAAAAAATCAAACGAGTGCCCATCACAGTTTTGTGCTTAGCCTATTGTTTAGTTTTCCTTGCTGAATACAACAGTGTTTCCATTTGAGGGATAAAAATCCCTTTCTAGGGATATTTAGGGCCTTCGAGGGATTGAAAAGGGATTGAGGGATAACTAGGGATAATCAGAGAAATTGAAGGATTTTTTAGATTTTCTAGGGATTTCAGGCCTTTGACATTATAAAATTGAAATATTGATAAAATAATACATTATGGCTATATTTTAACAACGTTAAACAAGGGGAAGAGTAACATCTAACTCTGCACGAAACAAGCGAAGGACTGGAGTCGGTCGGTGGAATGGAATGGCGGATCTAGATTACTGTACTGTATTTCTTTCTTAGTAGCCCTGTGCCCTGTGTCAATGTCGAATATTTGTTTTCGTTTTGATTTTGTTTGCCGGTGATTTCTGTTATGTTTTTTGGTTAGTAAGTAACTCGGTGTAAGCTTTTCACCAAGGCATGGTGGCACGGTGGTGGCCATGTTTGAAAAAGACTATTATCATTATTAAGTTTGAACATTTGGACACTTGAGTAATATTTTTGAAACAATTGTAAATACTTATAAATGAAAATTATTAGTTTATAAAATTTTAAAAATAACTATTTGTTTTAATTTTAGTCAAATAATCTTGTTTTGTACCACATAGACAGTTTTTAATCACGGCTACCTTTAATTCAAAGCCGGAGGCCGCGGCCTTCTATGTGGCAACGTTGCAAGTATACTGTTTGTTCGGAGAACGCTAAGCTAATGATACTAGACTTTATGTATTTTTTAAGAATACGAAAGCTTGGTTACTGAGCTATGAAAATTTTGACTCCACATTGAATTTACAGAAATAGATTTTCAATTTATATTGTTTTGGTTTTTGATTCTATATTATGTTTTTTTCCATGTTAACTTATGGGACGTCTGGCACTAAACAATACTACCATTGACTATAAATCCTTAAGGATTTATAGTCAATGATACTACGGTAAGTTACTTGCAACGTTGCCAATTCTACCAGGCCGCAGCCTGCCTGGAGTTAAAGATGGCCGTGGTTTTTTAATGGTGTAAAAATGTTTTTTATATAGTATATTACTTTATAAATAATATGGGATATTGAAGAATAATATCACCAGTTACCATATTTTATTATAATATTAATAAAATGTAATAAATAATGTACATAGGTGGCTGTACATGATATTCATTGGTATTGCGGCAAAAATAATAAGTTATCTAGATTTGATGAAAAGGGATAATTGGAGGGATTATTAAAACACGGACTAGGGATAACTAGGGATTTTTTGACGTTGGCCGAGGGATATTTTTTTCTTGCGGATGGAAACACTGGAATACAAAGTTAAGTTATGGTAAGAACTAATAGCCTAAAATCAGTAGCTGTGTTATGACTTTCTCAGTAAACTTATCTGTGGTTTGAACCTATCATTTTAAGTATCTTACTTAGTGGCATTTTAAGTTTAGGAATCATAATCACATTTATAGGAAATTGGTCAAAACACATCACATTTTTGAGGATATAGGGAAACCTCTTATACCAAAGCTAAGGTTGTCGATCTTACATTTTTCAAATTCCAAGTAGGTACTAGCCTTGTTATTGGTATTGCATCTCGGTACTTTGGTGTTATACGGAGGCCACCCTTATACAGCACGCTGCGGCGGTTGTGTTAGGTTGGGTTATCATAAATTAAAAGTATGACTTAAGTATCTGGTAACGTTCGATTCATGACGGAACGAGGAAAGTCCTACAAACATATTTATGACTACACAACCTAACTTAACCGCCGCAGCGCGCTGTAAAATAAGGGGTCTATGTCTACTTGCACCGGCGTCTAGTTGGACCTGCTGCATTTTGGTGACAGGCGTCTCTAGTTGTACCTCGTCCAAAGCTGTAGGTACAACTTGACGATGGTGCGGATGATCTAGTTGTACCTATGTCTAAACTTAGTTGTCTCTACGTCTAAGTTAGTTGTACCTCTTAAAAATCTGCAGGTACAACTAGTCGAGTACGCCACCGTCTACTTGTACCTCATACGTCTGCGTCTATATGTACCTACGACTACTTGTACCTACGACTACTTGTACCTACGACTACTTGTACCTACGACTACTTGTACCCACGACTAATTGTACCTACACCTACTTGTACCTACATCTCGTTGTACCTACGGCTAGTTGTATCTCCCCTTCAACTTGTCACCAGTTTAAGGGATTTATTTAATTTCTTTAAAAATCTTACAATCTTATAAAATTTTTTTATAAACAACTTGCTACAAAAGCCAGGAAAATTAGGCTTGTTTGCAGCTCATTGAGAAAACCCTGTTCTTGATAACAATGTACTGTGTCCCTTGGTCAGTCCTTATCCATATTACACTTTGGTTTTCCTTATTTCTTGTCAAGATCTGCTATCATTGTTTTTTCCACATTTAAACTCTACCTTTCTCTATAAAACTAACATTAACTAGCTTTAACAACAACTTAAAACAATTATCGGTATTTATTCCGTACAGGTGCCTCCAAACGATTTTTTAATTTTGATATCTTACTTTATAGTTTTTTACCTCCTGAATCCAAATATACCATTAATTTTCACCGCTGATGAATATTTCTCAAGATATCGCCGTAAAAACATACCTAACATTACTATAAACAAGATAGGATGGATGACATTTACAAGTGGAATGAACTGTAGGTTAACTAAGCCTTAAGCCTACTTACAGCTGATTCTGTCACCGGCAATTTGCCTATTGACGACATTTTACTTCACTACAAATAAAATACAAAACAAAATACTCATTCGTACCATTCGTACCTACTCATACGTGTTGCGTAGTGCTAGCTAAGTGCTATTCTGTCTGCTACGCCGTCGCCATCACAAGTTCAGATTAAGTTAAGTGAAGAGAGTAACATGGTTGACTGAAGATAATAACATCGTTGTAGACACGGCCGCCTTTAACCACGGCCGCAGGCGGCCGTGCTTTAACTTTGTAGAAACATATCAAGTGATTCTATAGTCAATAACTTAATGTTTACTACAATAGGAATTTCGTCACATTATGGAGATATAGATGGAATAATGGACTAATTACTCGTAGTTCTTATTTAGGCATGTCAGGGTGGTAGGTCGTGCTATATGTGAATTGGTGACTGCATTAAGTGTTTTGAAGTTAGGTTAGATTAGGAAGGTAAAGTTTAGGTTATAATGTATCGAGTTGTTAGTTTATGTCACCTGCAGACTGTTTTTGTAAAATTAAAATCCTGAGAAAAACACTTCAAATTACTATTTCAAAAATGCTTGCATTTTTGAAATAGTAATTTGAAGTGTTTTTTCTGACATCAAAAGGAGTTTGCTTACACATTCTAGAGGTTTGGTTGGGTTAGGTTATGTTAGAATAGCACCATTTTAGTATGTAATTTCTAAACGGCGAAATATAAATCAATAAATCATTAATAAGGATAAAATACTGGTAACAATAATACATTATTAACTTATTGGTCATTGGTCTTAGAAAGTGAAAAGTGTAACTTAATCAGGTGATTTTCATATTGCAGAATCAGAGTTAGCTAATTAAAGTTGTCACTTCCATTTGCTTGACTATGATTGAAAACAATCAGCTGGTTGGTTTACTTAACCCATAGTACATTCCACTTGTAAATGTCATCCATCCTACCTTGTTTATTGTAATGTTAAGTATGTTTTTACGGCGATATCTTGAGAAATATTCATCAGCGGTGAAAATTAATGGTATATTTGGATTCAGGAGGTAAAAACTATAAAGTAAGATATCAAAATTAAAAATTCGTTTGGAGGCACCTGTACGGAATAATTACCCAATTATCTTCAATAAATAAATTCAGAGTTTACAAAAACAAGTAATTGAGTATAATGAAGTGTTTTTGTATGGTATTAGTCACGGAGAATATTACAACAAGTTCAAATTAAAAACGTGTATGTTATTCTTATGGATATTACGTAAACTGGCGTAGTTTGGTTGTTGATTCATATACTTTGACAAATAAGTTTAAGTTATTTCACACTTATACTCCGTTCAAACAGCCGTGGCACCTGAGGGATTAGGAGGCCCCAAGGGTTTCTATGGGTTCTCCTAAATCCGTCAGGTGCCACGGCTGTTTGAACGGAGTATAACTACTAACTTTTCTCAAAAACACATCTTAATTACCTTCTACGCAAACGTAATGATTAAGCTCACTATTGAAATACCATTGAAAAAATAACCCAGGTATGACTTTTTTGCGCGCGCTTATTAGTCCTTAGTAAAACTAATCTTGGTTTAGTTGCAGACTACATAGCCAGTGTACACATACATTACGGTACCTAACTCAGTATCAAATTTAGTTTATAGCCTATAGTTTAACTAGCTTCTCTAGTTTGTTTGAAATGGAAAAAATTCCAATCACATGTATTATTTTCAGTGTGCGTTAAATAGAGAAGTCTGTACATTGCATATTGTTGGTCGAGTTTTCAACCACTGGACCTCAACTTCATTGTACACTTCATTGTTCATTGTTCACTGGGAAATCCATTGTAAACTATAAGAAATGCACACTAATCAATGCAAATACTTTAAGGTTATGTGAAAAAATATTTAAAGGAATCAGCAAAAATAGTCATACATAAGCACTAGAACCTAGAGTGGATCAAATCGAGGTCAGGGTATCCCTGCTTGAATCAAAAGACAAAAATGCAACCCCCTCCACAGATCTGGAAACTACCATAGCTGAGCTAAACGAGCGCACCCGCCGCGCTAAAAACTTAATGATCTACAATCTGGAAGAATCATCTGTGGGTGATGTTGATGCCAGGAAAAAACATGATCTGGAATTGGCCACTTCCTTCTTCTCAACCCTCATTCCTAATTTCTCTAACAATGGGATCAAAACTTTCCGTGTTGGTGGTAAAAAACCTGACAAACCTCGGCCTCTTAAAGTTGTGCTTGGCAGCAATTCCGATGTGATCACTGCAATGAAGAATTTTGCCAGCTCTGGGACCATTTTGAATCCACGATTTTCTTCCGTCAAGCTATCCAGAGACAGAACTCCCCGTGAAGCCGCCCACCTTCAAAACCTCAATGCCGAATTAAAGGAACGCACCACCCGTGGCGAAAAGGATCTCACCATAAGGTTCCTAAACAACATCCCCCAGATTGTTAAAAATTCAAAAAACGAATAATTCCCAACGGCGCACCGCATCACCTCAGTTGTTATTTTCAAAATGTGAATGGCTTAAGAAGCAAAATTTCTGAACTCTCAATCAGTGCTACAACTTCCTCCTACGATATTATCACCCTGGTTGAAACGAATCTCTTACCTGACATGAACTCTTCAGAACTTGGCCTTACTGGTTTTAACGTTTTCAGATGTGACAGATCTTTGGCCACGAGCAATAAGATCAGTGGTGGTGGTACTCTCATAGCAGTACGTGATCACCTAGCATGTCAACTTGTCCCCTTGCATGCCTGCTCCTCGGAATGCGTTTTTGTTACCTGTACTTCTGGAACCCGTCGCATCTTGTTGGGCTCTGTCTATATCCCCCCCAGCCAGCCTGCCATCGTCTATGCCGACTTCTGTGACGTGGTGGAGGATATCCTCTCATCTTCTAACTTCGTGGATGATGTGCTTCTCTTCGGTGATTTTAACAAACCTGAAGCGGACTGGGGTGAGCTTGATTCCTGCGAAGGCGATTCCTCTTCAAACTACCTACGCAACTTAGCTTATACTCACAACCTCTCCCAAATCAACAAAATCCGAAATCGCAGAGGTGTCTACCTGGACCTCATTTTTTCATCTACTCCTACAACTGCAGTCATCCGCGCTGACGACCTTCTTGTTGCCGAAGACATTCATCACCCTGCGCTCTCCTGCTCAATCCTGCTGCAGAAACGCTCAGCCTCGAGGGACGTCAGGATCGTACCTGACTTCAGAAAATGCAACTTGGACGCTGTATTTCGTGATCTGCAGAACGTTAACTATCCTTCACCTTCTTCTCTACCTGATGTCGAATCTGCCTTCTCTGACTTCTGCGACCACCTTGGCTCAATCATATCTCAACATACACCCACAAAACAGCTTCAATCCTCAAGCTTTCCTGCCTGGTTTACCGAGGAGCTAAAACGACTTGTCTTAAGGAAGAAGGCCACCCATCGACTTCTTAAAACCTCAGGAAATCTTCGTCATCGTGAAAGTTTTCGCAATTTGAGAAGCCAGTGCAAGTCTTTAGCCACCAAGTGTCATCGAGACTACTTAAAAAGAATTGAAGACGACATTCCTCATAACATAAAATCTTTTTGGTCTCACGTCAACAGACTCAAGAGCAGTCCATCCCCTGCTGCTAAACTATCATTTGATGGTAGAGAAGCTGAGTGTGCTGCCGGAAAGTGCGAACTATTCTCAAACTACTTTTCATCCGTCTTCACGGAGAACCAAATTCCCTCGCCTGTCTTCGACTTTGGCTGGAACTTCTCCATCACTAAATGTGTCATCACAGCCTCAAACGTTCAACTCAAACTTGCCTCGCTTGACCCAAATAAGGGAGCCGGTCCTGATGCTATTCCTCCGTGCGTTCTTAAATACTGTGCCCCTATTTTGGCTCCTCATCTGGCTATCTGGTTTACATCCCTGCTCTCACTTGGAAACTTCCCATCGGCCCTTAAGCGTGGCTTTGTCGTCCCCATCTTCAAATCTGGTGATCGTTCAAATGTCAGAAACTATCGGCCCATTGTCATTCTCTCTGCTGTTGCCAAGGTGTACGAGAGCATTGTTTTGGACTACCTCTATTTTCATCTCCGTAAATGTATCTCCTCCTCTCAACATGGCTTCCTGCGCTCACGCTCAACAGTGACAAACCTGATGGAGTTTCAAGAATACGTCATGGCCGCTTTTGGCGATGCTCTCCAAGTTGACTGTGTTTACCTTGATCTCTCCAAAGCCTTTGACAAGGTCAATCACAACATCCTTGTGGCAAAGCTCGCCGGATATGGTGTGGGGGGGGCCCTGCTTGAGTGGTTAAACAGCTACTTGACCAACAGAACCCTTGTAGTCAAGTACGACGGGTGCCTTTCTACGCCATTCAGTGTCCTATCTGGAGTCCCGCAAGGGTCCCACCTCGGTCCCTTGCTGTTTAACCTGTTCATGAATGACATTGGCAACGTCATCCTCACCAAGTTTCTCATGTTTGCCGATGATATTAAGGTATTTGGCTCGGTGTCATTGGCTTCTGACTTTGAGCGCCTCCAACTTTCTCTCACTAACATCGACACCTGGTGCAAGGAAAACTTCATGGAGCTCAACGTCTTGAAATGTGTCGTCATCTCCTACAAACGTGGTGCAGCCCCAGTCCAATATGACTACGTCCTCAATGGTTCTACACTGAAGAGAGTGGAAAGGGTACGAGATCTCGGAGTGACAATGACCCCTTCGCTCAACCCTCACGAGCACATTGCCCACATTACAACCAAAGCTAGCTCCCTGCTTGGTTTCATATTCAGATCAACAAGGAATTTCAACTCGCCCTTCACCTTGATCACGCTCTACAAGTCCCTGGTACGCCCGCTGCTGGAGTATGGGTCAATCATCTGGTCTCCCTTCCAGAAGAACCACGTCAGCCAACTGGAGAGCATACAAACCCGCTTCATACGGATGCTTGGACCGAGACTTGGTTTTACCTACCGCACTACCCCGGTTGACGATGTGGAGAAGTCCTTCGATCTTCTGCCTTTGTCACTCCGACGTCATCATGCCGACATATTCATGCTCTACAAGCTGGTTAACGGGTTTGTCGATTGCCCCAACATCCTGAGTGGTATCGACATTACCACGCCCAGAGGCACCCGCTCCAGGACTATATTCAGCAGACGCTTTCTCCCAGCCTACTACTCTTACAACAGCGGAATTAGCCGTCTACTCAAGGCTGGTAGCACGGCGGCTGCTCAACTGGATTTCTTCGGTGAGAAGCCCCTCCGGTTCAAAAAGAAGGTCTCCCTGATCACTTGAGCTACCACACTCCAGCACATCTGCATATTTGTCCTCTCATCGCTGAAACTTGCTGTTCATGTTCTTTGTTGATACTCTTTTTAGTTTATTCTTCTGTTATTAATATTTGTTATTACTTTGTTATTACTATTGTTATCACTATTTGTTATTACTATTGTTATCACTATTTGTTATTACTTGCTATCACTATTTATTATCACTTTGTTATTACCATTGTTATTACTTTTCTAGTTAGTAATATTGCAAATGCCATCTAAATTGTTACACATATTTTGTAAAAAGGTGCAATCCGTTGGGAAATAAATAAATAAATAAATAAATAATTGCTAGGCAGCGGTCTATTGCAATTCATTAAGGATACAGGCCTACTGCTTGTATATTTATAATATATATAAATGTTTTAATTAAATAAGCGATTTTCGGTACTAGGGCTGGAAAATTTTTAGTTACAACTATAGTTGCCATTTCGACCCTGGACAGCAATGTGTAGCTTTCAGCCTCCAATTAACGTCTGTAAAACTACTAAAACATCGTAGTGCGGTGAAAAATATTTGCCAATTATACTCAATTGACTCGGAACACAGCAGTTTCTGATTTAATTAAGGGTATTATTAAAAAGTACTCAAGCAGGATAGATACAACTAGACTATAAGGACGCAAAATACGCGTAGGTACAACTAGCCGTAGGTACAACTAGACGTAGGTACAACTAGACGTAGGGACCACTAGTCGTAGGGACCACTAGTCGTAGGGACAACTGGTCGCATCCGTACAAGCTAGGTGATACTACTTGTCGGTGGGATACACGTCAAGTTGTACACGTCTACTTGTACATACGTCTAGTTGTACCTCCTAAAAATCTGCAGGTACATCTAGTCGGGTGTGCCACCGTCTACTTTTACCTATGTCTAGTTGTACTACGACTAGTTGTCCCTAGGCCTCGAGGTACAAGTAGACGTAGGTACAACTAGACGGCGGGACAACGAGACGCGGTCCCAAAATAAGTGGCCTCTGTATATTACCACAGTAAGTTAAAATACCGTAGGCTACCTGTATCTCTCTGAATTTAAATTTTAGGCTAATTACTTAAGTTAAATGAGTGAATCAAATCCAACAAACTAAGTTAGCTTTAGCTAACCAAGTTAATCCTAGTTTATTGATGTGATAAACAGGAGTAACTTAAGCTTAATAAGTAAACTTAAGTATAAGTATTTTTCTGGCAGTGAACTTGCTGTTGTTTATTTTAAAGTTTGTGTTGTCATCTTTCAGCTTGGATGCAAAATCAACCAATATTCAAATTACTCTCAAAGGGGGTGGGCTGAAATTACTGCAGGTACGTTTGAACTTAATATAGTAATTATTTCTACATGTATTTAACCATGCATGTGCCACCGTATAACCTGACTATGGATCAGCATTTTGATATAGGCCCTAGCCTGATTGCATCACATACCCTAGGCCTACTCTCTCAATTTACACAAAAGTAAATTTTATTATCGTTCCCTCCCTCAGATTCAAGACAATGGATGCGGGATCAGAAAGGAAGACATGGAGATTGTTTGTGAACGTTTCACCACCAGTAAACTGGTCCAGTTTGAAGACCTTAACTCCATCGCAACATTTGGTTTCCGAGGAGAAGCATTGGCCAGTGTCAGTCATGTTGCTCATCTTACCATCATCACAAAGACTGAAGATCAGCCTTGTGCTTACAAGTATGATAGCTTGCAAAATACTTAAATATATATTTTTTTAGGGTACCTACCTACTCCTATTAGGAAACATAAGTTACTCTTATACAAATAAATGTTGAACGTTGGACCATAATCTTTTTATTGTTTTTCATAAATTTGGGTAAAATATTGTTCAAACTTTCTTTAGCATACTAGGCTCAAAATCAGTCAAAAAAAAATTTAACAAAAAACTTTTTGTAAAAAACCGTATTAGGCCTATTTTAAAACTTTTAAGTTATTTTATGATTGCACGGTTCCTTCTTGAAGAATGATGGAGCCCGCTGTACATATTGTCACTTTTGTGGAATCATCAAGATCAAAGTTGTTGTTAAAATGCTAATTAACACTACCACTATGCCTATACTATTTATTTAGGCCTTCCATGGTTTTTAAGACGGAAACAAGGGAAGGGGATAAAAGACAACACAAGCATAAGAGCCCGAGAGAAAGATTCAACGGTCTTGACAATAAGACATCACGCACTCACACTTTCGCACTCAGTTTTGGCTCACATCATTGGCCACTTTCATGATTGATTTTTCCATAGCAATGATAGTAACTAGTGTAGGGTATAGTATAATAAAAACATTGCTCCTTATGATACCTACCACACAAGTGACAATATGTACATTGAGTTCCCCTAATTATCCAAGAACCTGGCAACCATAAGGTAAGCCTTTATAAGATAATTTGTTATTGAAACTGAGAACCCTAAACTTAAAATCAATAATGTTATCAAAAGTTATGAGAACTAATTGAAGTATTAAATTATTATTAGCCCATAATAATATATTTAGGATATTTAGAGTACAAAAATGTTCTTTAATCCATATGACCTATGGTTTAAAATACAGTAAGGACCAAATAAGGATATGTAGAGCATCATATGAAGAGAGAGATATGAGAGAGAGGATATGTAGAGTATCTAGTTGTATTTGATTTTTTCAGAGCTTCATATGAAGATGGAAAGCTAAAAGGAGCTGTGAAAGCCTGTGCTGGAAACCAAGGCACTCAAATAACAGTAGAAGACTTGTTTTTCAACGTTTCAACTCGACGGAAAGCTTTAAAAAGCCCTTCTGAAGAGCATGCTAGAGTTTTGGATGTGGTAAGTCACTGATAATTTATTTGACCAATAAATGCTAGTTATAGCATACCTTAAACTACTCATTAGCGCAAAATTCATTTGGATTAATATAGAGTTTTATATAGAGTATTTATCATTAATACCTAAGTTTTACCTTATTCTGAAATGGCAACCATGTGAATGTAGGTATTTTAAGAAAAGTATGAATAGAGATGAGTGTAGGATGAGTGGCGCGATCTTATTGTCTTGTTAGTGACTAAGGCCGACATGTTCTTTAGACTTAAAGTTGATTGGGACAAGCGGTAAGAGAGATTAAACTTGATGATGTCGGAGGGATACATTAATAGAGAGTTGTATCTCTTACCCTCAAACAAGCCTGCTTTTTTACCCACCAGCTAGTATTCTGGACACTTACTCTTTATAATTAGGCCCTTAAACAAGGCACTGATATTAAATGTACTTCCATATGAACATATTTCAACAATTTTCTCCCTTAGGTAAGCCGTTATGCAGTGCACAATCCAAAAGTGGGATTCACCCTTAAAAAGCAGGGAGAAGGGTTGGTTGACTTAAGAACGGAACCAGACTCTACCCACAAGGACAACATTCGGATCATCTATGGAAACAATATCACAAGGTAATTTTGTCATTCAAGTAGTCTAACATTAGAAATTCATACAAACCTTAATTTGTTTTAAATGGTTCCTAAATGTTAAATGTCTGCCAGGATTAGTCTGAAACTCCTCTAAACACACCTAAATCACAGGCTGCCTATATTTTCCCCATTTCAATTGCCATTAGTAATCCTTTTACCTCAGTAGGAAAATTACAAAGCAACATCCATTGCTGGTGTGGAAGGTTGTTATTCTTACTCCCAATAAAAAGTCAGGCATCAAGCAGCTGTTTTGGTCTTGAAAATACTTCCTTAGAAATTAATTGGATGTGGTGCATGAATAAGATCTTGCTATACTCCCTCTGTCTATAAGTGATTCTTTCCTTACATTATATCAAATCAGATCCACTTAACCTACTTATTGCACCTAACCAGAAGTCAAAATTAGTGATTATTATTATAGTTCCGCTAATCACTCCCAATTAGGATTTGAGCCCAGGATTTGATCAGGATTGGATTGTTTACTGCCACTGCTACAGCAATCTGTTAGTTTATAGTCCCGCAAGATGTTTCTCTAGTCTATCTTTCATGGTTGTTATTATTTGCCTGTTGTTCTGTTTTAGAGAGCTTCTAGAGATCAATACAGAAGACGAAGGTCTCCAACTGAAAGTCAATGGATACATTTCCAATGTTAATTTCTCAACAAAGAAACCAATATTTCTACTCTTTATCAACAACAGACTTGTAGACTCATCAGGTAATTAAATGTTTAGTTGGTTGATTTATTGGAATGCTTTCAACTCAAGAAGTGGTGGGTTTGTTAAGAACAGTGGGTTTGTTACAAGCTACCATTTTTATTAAATTTGCAATTCTAAAGCCTTTGAAGAACCCAATGCACCTGATGGCCCACTTAAATATTTGACATTTTAGAAAAGGTAAAGGTTAATGTTGAGTTAATTTTACGTTATCTACCCGTAAAATTCAAATATAAACAAAGAAGTTTGTAAGAAATGAGAAATTTAAAAGTGTATTTCTGCAGTATAAAAATAAATTTTAATAATTTACCCAATTTGTTAAATTAAATATCACAATTCACAACCAACACAATGGCATGATACAGTACCTGGTTTTGGCATTGGAACCAACAAATTCAGTTCCACGTCCATCCCATTCAATAAATTAAATAAATTTCCCATTTGAGTTATTTTCTTTTGAAACAGAGATTGTTTATATAAAATGTTAGTTGAATAATTTTTGTTGAGTTATTGTCTGAGATTGTATTATTGTTTCTAGCAATCCGCAAATCGTTAGATTCGGTTTACGGACTTTACTTACCCAAAGGCTCACACCCTTTCATTTACTTAAGTTTATTTATGAATCCTCGAAACTTAGACGTGAATGTTCATCCAACAAAGCATGAAGTTAATTTTCTGCATGAGGAAGCAGTTATTGAAAGAATCAAAAAAGAAGTGGAGAAAATGCTCTTGGGTGCTAACACATCTCGGACATTCTTTACTCAGGTATTGAACAAAGTAAACAATAATTAACCGAGAAGTAATTATAAACGAACATTTGTTTGATAAGATGATGTAGAATTATATTCAAGGTTACCATTTGGATTCCACCTTTGACTTTGTCACACTAAAGTGGAATTTGTGCTCAATTAGCGTATTAAAGTTTGTATTGTTTTAGAATGGATCAATAACCCAGTTTAATTAACCCACCAACAGTGTGCTGCTGTTAAATATATTTGTTCTTTCCTATAAGTATGTATTTTACAATTTTAAACTAGATTGGCTTTTCGATCGAAATTCAAAATTATCTGTTGGAATCGGAAAGAAATTGCTTTTATACCAAATTTTATTGAAACATTGAAACCTATTTGACCTATTTGCCTACTTTCTAGCTCTGAGGAACCACTTAAATTTTAAACACGATAGAAGTACCAGTAATTCAAAGATTTCAATCCAAAACACTAAGAAAAACTTTACAAGCACCTTGGTATGTCTCAAATCATGTTATTTATCAGGATACAAAATTGCCTTTCATTAGGGAAGAAATCAAAAAACGAAAAAATCCAAATTTCATGGAAGTAACCTTTTTGATAGCAGCGAAGGTAAAAAAGGTTCATAATAATTCATCCAATCGGCCTTCCAATTTTAGTTTATTTTTTTAATGTTTTGTTTTGTATGTTAGTACACTATTTGGAGTGTAACTAACTCATGTTAAATTGTCATACAATTTAATTTCATGTTCTAGTCTAAGAACATATTGTAAATAAATACTTGTTATAAAAAAAGATTACTGAAATGGTAGGCTAACTTACTGTTAACTAAAAGTATACGCCCAAGCCTTCGCTTGTTAAGGTTTTTGGGTCATGGTTTTCTACTACTTGGGACACAGAAGCTTACCCTATAGATGGCCAGGGCTCAAATCTTGCTAAACACCTTCAAGATAGTGCAACCTGTTAAATCTGTAAAAGTTTTTACCAGTGTTCTTAGAGATTACACATGAAAAAAAAACTCAAAAATGTTTACGAGTAAATAATATGTAACAGAAGTAACCCTTCTACTAGGTGATTGAATACAGAGTTAAATCCTTCTTTTTCTTTTAAATAACAACTCTTGTTTAACCCTTAGAATATGTTTTTAGAGTTTTCGACTGTGAGCTATGATTGAAAGATATAATTTAACCTTGGCTGAACATTTTAATCTGTCTGTCGTAGGCTAGATTGCCTGATCTGCCTGAAGTTATAAAGGCTAATGACAAAGCTCCAACTGTCTCGGCCAACAAGCTGGTGCGGACAGACAGTACTGCTCAGAAACTAGACAAATTCTTTCCAAGCCAGAGTGCTAAAACTGTCAAGAGCCCTGACACCCCTGCCAGTTCTGCTAACAGGTAGATTTTATATCTTTACTTGAATAGTCTTTTAGCCAAATTTATAGCAGTCTATGCATATTTTGCTACATATTGTGACTATTTCCAGGGTCTCTTCCTTATATTCTAAAATCTATTTATTTAATTTCTATGGTACAACTCTAGTTTTTCCATCTATTTTCACTACTATCTTTTAATTGTAATCTACACCATATGTACAATTTCTTAATGTTACATCATGTTCTACCTTGTGCCCCTACTACTTGAACACCTTATAAGGATTTTTTGAAAAGTTGAGTTCAACTAGTTTACCAGAGAAAGTTAATGTCCAAGAGCTAAAAGAAACATAATAAAAGTTGCGTAGTCCAAACTACACACACCACACAAAGTACACACACTAGAGTAGTAAATGAAGTCCATGTATTTTATTTAGCATTAACTTGTGTACACAAAATGTCTAAGGTTCAACAACTGTTACTGCCGTGCGAGATGTTAGTTCTGTACTGTACAGTTAAAACTACAGTTAACACTTTCAGTGCTATGCAACAATATCATTGTGCGTTTTTTCCCAAAAAGTGCTATGAAACGATATATTGTTCTTTGTGTTTCAGCCAAAAAGTGCTAAACGACGATAAATTGTGCCGGCGTGACTTTCGATCGTGTGAGTTTAAATGGGCATATCGGTTGACTCGGTTGTAGTTTTGAAACAACGATGTTTTCTTTTGATTCCTCATACGATCGAAACCCAATGTAATATAGTTCCTTAGTACTTTTGAGATGAAAATTTTTATTTTTACCGATTTTTTCCTAGCACACTAGACTTTGTCCCTGTGGCAATCCTAGCACTTTTCAGACAAAATAAGAAAATGACTCCAACATTTTTTGGAAAATTACAAAAAAATATTCTAGCATCGAAAGGTTTAAGGTCTATGAATTAAATATGATACAGTGCTTGCACTTAAAATTGTTTTAAATTCATCTCTCTTTTAGACCTTTTCCAGTACCTATAATAGGAAATTATATAATCTAACATTGCAGGAGAGACATTCAGTTGACTAGTGTATTGAGTCTGAGGAGGGAGGTGGAGGAAGGAGTACACATGGGTCTGAGGGAGATCATGTCCAACCACACGTTTGTGGGCTGTGTAGACCGTGAGAGAGCGCTGATACAGCACGAGACCAGTCTGTACATGAGCAACACCAGATCTCTTGCGTAAGTATTATCATAGACTAACCAACACAAGTAGACTTCTCATCCCATTGTAAATTTTGAAGCACGTTTTTCGTGTCTAGTTCATGTACGTGACACAAAGGCGCTAGTGTCGACGAAACTTTGTTTCTATTATTTTAGGGTTAATTTCTTGATTTGAGCTTTACTGTTTGGTTATATAACTAAGGGACAAGTTATTGTTTATGATTAGACCGTATTATTTGGTTAAACGAGGTTTTAAATGGCTGTAATAACGGGAAACAAATTGTAAACAAAACACGACCTCTACAGAAAACCGTACAGAACTAACAATAAAATTGGCTTCAGCTGTTCCATAAGGATGGGAAATCTACTAAGGGAGTATGTTTTATCTATGGTATTATTATGTGCAACAAGTATTTTTCACTGCCACGTTTAATATTGAACATTTTTCTGTAGACATAATTTCATCTGATGTCCCATTATAAGTTGAGTTGTTTTGTTCTATAAGCTAAATTATTTTTTAATGTTGTTTTCATTATCTATATACACATTAAACAGTAAGGAGTTTCATTATAATATCCCTTTTCTGGTTGTCCTACTTAACAAATGTTTACGATTTAGGTGTAATTTTAAAGCTTCTTCATTCTTCATTATTTATAGCTTTGCCCCCCTTGCGTTTGATTTATTTTAAAAGTTTACTTTCAACGATTTAGTGATACTGACTGAATATTTACGTTCTACCAAAATTTTTCCCAATCACAGACGTATATTATACTTAAGATTAATCATTTATCATTTTGTATCTAACTTTAGATTTGTTTCAGGGAAGAGATGTTTTACCAAATTATGCTTTACGAATTTGCTAATTTTGGCGTGATTAAATTCAAGGTAACTTTTATAGTTAATATTAGGTCTACTCTAGTTTGTGATAAAAAGTTTGTGACTAAACTGTGGTTAAAAATAAAACTCTTTATATCATTCATTGTTATCAAGAAAAAGATCAACTTTGTTACTTGTGCAGCTAATTAACACGTTGAGTCGGCATGCATTCACACAGGCACTCACCAATGGCGGCAAGGCCCGGTGCGGCACCGAAACAGTGAACGCAACTGGCATTCAAATATTTCAATCTGACAAATAACAAAAGAGCAGCGATGATTGTACTGCGTTACCCCGAGAGTAGACGTAGTTCACTGAAACACCAAAAGGTAGCAGTATTGCCGGGATCAGTATCTTTGTAATGTGGCTTGAAACCAGGACCAAAGCATTGTCAGACGAGATTTTATGGGAAGTTTTTCTACCAACCTACACCAAAGTAAAGCTCACATTCTAAGCTACAGGCTAGCAACGATTATAACGTTCTCCGTCAATGGCAGAGCTCATACTGAACTAGTGGGGGTGGCGCGACTACATCAATTGATGTAGTCAGCACTCAACGTCTTAAATAACTTGTTATACTAAACATTTTTACGTGGACTGGTGCAAATACCTGCTGTCAAAGGATACTTATGACCTTGAAAGGCGACCGGTTTCGAGGCGAACGTCTTCATCTTCATTTCGTTCATTCGTCAGGATCAAAACCTGTCGCCTTTCAAGGTCATAAATATCACTTGACGGCAGGTAATTGCACCAGTACACGTATTGATCAGTGATTCAAAGGCTTAACTAAAAAAAAAAACATCTTTACCATAATAAAGACTTTGAACAGTACAGATTATGTACACATCCTATCCTTACGGTTATTCCTGAGTCGACCAGGTCCCTCTATCTTTTTAATTTCTCATCACCTTCCTTATCCAACTTCTTCGTTTTCCAATCGGTCTCCCTGACTTTAACTACCCCCCCATCTGATCTGTTCTATTCATTCCTAACTCTATCCTTCATATTTCGTATTAGTCTTAAAACTTCTTTAAAATTGTCTTTCGCCAGCTTTTATTCTACTCAATTCTCCTCCCTGTACATTTCATTTGAGCAGTATTACCTCCAAAAGTACTTCATGTACCAAAAACTGTTACATGAATAATATGTTCAATGACTTTTCTAAGGACCGAAGTCCCGAACTCTACCACTAGAAGAGTTCCCTCCCCAACCCGATGTGTTAAGACGACCACTAGATTCAAACCTAAAGGTTAATTTTCAGTTTCTTTGGGTTCGATTTGAAAATGAATTTTTAGGTTTGAAACCAGGTGTCTAATGGAGGTTACAGAACCACCTGACAGTAATACAGGTATTTTAAAATCAATGTAGTAAACTACAACGGCTTTTGTAAGTGCGAGATGTTGTAGGATGAGACTACACAGACATTACCCTGTCACAGGAGCCTCTACCTCTGCAGGAGTTGTGTCAGCTGGCTCTAGACAGCCCTCAGGCAGGCTGGGAGCCGAGTCATGGTGACAAGTCTCAGCTGGCCTCGGAGGCCGCCACTTTGCTGTCATCACGCTCTGACATGCTACAGGACTACTTCTCACTGGACATCAACAGCAATGCTGCACTGTGCGCTATACCCATGCTGTTGGGTAAGTCACAGTCTTTTCACGTCTGTTTCCCCCTTCTATTTGGCTTAGTATGGAGTTTGAGGTGTATTTGAATAGATATGATTACGCATCACATTAGTGGTACTGGGTCTATCTAACAGCAATAATCACATCCTGTACATTCACATCCTCTTCCGTTCTGCTTATTCCCAGGTTTGGGTGTCAATTAAGCCTCTCCAATCTACCATAGTTCTGCCTCCTCCAACATCTGCCGTCTCACTCCTCCCTTCTCCATATACCTGATCTCATCCATCCACAATCTTCTAGGTCTTCATTGCACTTCAACACTTTTGAATTGCATGTTAGTGACAAAAATGGACAGAGAAAATCACATTCAATCAATATGTCTACTGACATGTTTGATAATGCCCCAGAATGTTTTAAATAAAAACTGAAGAACGGCAATATTTCTTTACAGTTTTTGGATTTTCTATGTATCTTTTTTCTCAGCTTGTGTGCATTGCAGGGAAAATCTACGCATACTGTTAAAAAAATATTTTCATGTATATTTGCAGAAACCCTTGATAATTTGAAATAGGCTAAAAAATAAGCACAAAACAGGAATTTAATTTTTTTTAATTATTAATATAGCCCTTATGGATTACCTTTTATCTGGTGACGAAATAACAACAAAAACATAAACAGAAAATCAAAACAAATAGAATAAATTTCAATCATATTTTTTATTTTCAGTTTGTGGTGAAAAATAGACAAGTCTGTACATTACATATTTTTGGTACAGTTTTCGAGCACCGGATGACCTCTAGTGTCATTAATATTCTGAACCCATTATTTTGTTGCCTTTTTAAACTGTTATTATGCATATTGTATAATTATTTGTGTTGATCCTTCCAGTGAACTATATCCCAGACTTGGGGCAGTTGCCAATGTATGTGTTGAAACTTGCTTGTGATGTCAACTGGAATGATGAACAACTTTGTTTTGAAACATTCTGTAGACAAACGGCAAAATTCTACAGCAAACTACCACAAGCACCCTTGGATGTAAGTGAACTATCCCTTATACGATAAATCCATCAACTAAAAGTATTTTGCTAAAAATGTTTAACTATAATTTAAATTTCTAAACAAATAGTAAATTATTATTATTTTATTATTGTCACAGTATTATCTTTAGTCGATGGAATAAAAGTGGTCTAGGTAATTGCATTCAATTGTAAATAATTTCACTATATAATTTATTTTTATTTATTATAAAAGTCAACAAACAAATTTTACATTTTTTTAATTGTTCACAAACAAATTATTCAATTAGTATAATCATAGATAAAACATACTCCCTTAGTTCCTTTCCTTGTGTTGCTTAGTGTATGGTAAAATGCCTTGAACAGAAATAAATTTGCTACGTTTAACACTGCTTTCAACTTCACTTTAAGGAGTTAAATTTTCATAATATTAGAATCTTTAAAATTCCAGGAGAAGTCTAAGGGTGATGACTGGGCGTGGACTGTAGAACATGTTATATACCCAACACTCAAGTCAAGTTTTCTGCCTCCAAGGAAGTTTGCAGAAGATAAAACCATCATGCAGGTCGCTTCCCTACCAGAACTGTATAAAGTGTTTGAAAGATGTTAAAATATCGGAATCTGATCTCTGAAGTTAATGGCTACAGTAAATGCACTTTAAAAAAATTAAATGTGATGTCCGAAATAAATATCATGTAAAAAATCTATATAAGCAAAAAGGACTTGTTTGCCAGTCTGCAATGAAGTATAGTTTTTCTTAAAAATAGTGTGACAAACTGACAAGCTTGTTTTAATATAATTTTTACAAAAGATTTTACTGGTGTGTTGGATTAAACTCGTAGTCATTAATAAAACATTATTATAAGAAATTTGTGTTTACAGATCAAGCTCAAAAAATACTTCTTATAGTCGGGACCACACAAGTTTGCAGTTGAGGGAGGAGCCTATTTACCATATGATTTTGAAAGAACCAATGAGAACTGAGCGGTGTTGCCAAATCTAATAATACCAGCTGATTTGAAAATATTGCTTAGTATATTTTAATTAGTGTTGTCAACGGGCGATATGGCAACATCACACTAGGCTTGTCTTGCGATTGGCTGAAACCAACTGCAAACTTACGTGGTCCCGACTATAGACGTATAGCCCATATATTGTTAAAATAATTTTTCATTATGTGGTTTGGTTATAGTTATAATCTTAATTTTTATTACTACAGTATTAATTTTTGTTATTATGTACAAATGTATAGTTCACAGAGTAACATTAATGTACAGTATTTATTTTTTTAATAAATGCTTTAAAAAAGTATAATAAATAGTTCTTTCCTTATTCCCAATTTTTAAGATGAGTTAAAATGTCAAGATATAAGATATGTTTGTTTGCTAATTAACTTATTTAACTTGTTTACTGTATTTAACAAACATAGCTACAAATTGTACTTTTTAATTTTCAAAATACTACAGTCATTATATGAAGAAAGAGAATAAAAATTTCAACCATTTAACATTCTGAATTCTGATAATAAATTTTTGACAAATTTACTTTAATTATTGTGATTTTTGTGGGTGGTAATTCTGTCCTAAAAATACCATATATTTTTTTTCATACAGCCACCTGACACTAAGTGGCCTTCCTTACACTGATTATAGCACAGAAAGTTGCTAATTGCTGCATTTACTTACTTTTGTCGCAGAATTTTATTTTATTTTTTAATTTTATTTTTTTTGCTGCACACCAGTATTCCGACCAAACAACACAAAACAGCATGCTTTTTTAGGCATCTAATACGTGTACGCTTGAAAAATAAGTTGGCAATACTTAAAAATATTACAACTACAATCAGCTGGTGCAGCGTTTCCCATTTCGTTCAATGTTGGGATTTAACCTAACCTAAACACGTGCTGTACAGTGTTTGAAAGACTAATTTTACTGTAGTAGTTGTTATTATACGAGTAGTTGCTTTATACTAACTGTAGGAAAAATATAATGTGTAAAACGAGTGCAAACTGCCTTTGCTGCACTCGAGAAACATTTCCCTCGCATATTAGTTACACAAATAAATATTGTTCCAATGAATGTGGCAATATTACACAAATTGAGCATTGTTGTAAGCCTATTGGTTTTTTTTACCCAGTATTTTAGTTTTATAATGAATCCTATCTTATACACTTCAGTAAGAAAACATGATGATTGTCCAACAACTATAATTATATTCAACACTTTAAAATTCTAAAACCTTAGTAACCAAGCGTGACACAGCTTAAGGGGGTGTTTATTACTCTTCATGAAGGGGAGCGAGCTAGTTTAGGGGTAGAGCCTGAGACTTCAATCCCTTCATATGTCACCAATGTATTTTATCTACCGCAACCCCCAGGTCTAGATTGAAGTAATGTGAAAATCGATCCTGAGCTAACGCCTAGTGTCCTAGGAAAAAACCATTCCTCTTCATTAAAATTAAAAAATTGCTAATTCTAAACAACCAGGTTGAAATAACACCACATATGGACTCATGTAGAAAATGTATTCAAACACAACCACAATCCTATAACTACTTTGGCAAACACCTACTTAACCTATGTCTTTCTCGCTTTGAGTTTTCGCTTGATGGAGACGTCGCTGATGAGCGTTTCTGTGGAGGAATCGTCTGTCTGGTTGTCCACAGTGGTCAGTCTGCTCTCCATGACTTTAGTGACTAGAGTTTTGGCAGTGTCTCGATGATAGATGATCAGCAGGACTACCAACACGAGAGGCAGAGCGAAGTATGAGGTGTGTGAGAGTTCGCTGTCACTGGCGCGAGGACTAGTCGCAAAGTTGAGCCGCACCAGCTGGAATGATGAGTTGGCCTTGAAGTAGACGGGATGAGTCTTGTAGTTGTGTGTCTTTGGTGAAAGTGTCGACTCAAGTTGTATCGAGTATGTGCGACCTGTGTAAAGATTAAGACAGGGTTTACCATTTCAATATAACTAATTATTGTAACTAGATTTACTTCGATCTAAAAGGAGGATAATGGGATTGTTTTGTAATGTTGTTACCTCATATCAACAAGGATATTTATTTCAATAAATTTCTGTTAAGATAAAACTGACAGTTACAAAACCCCTTTGAAATAGTAATAAAGGCGCAATAGGCTTCCTTACCTGCAGTCTACTGCTGCCGCTGAGACCGTTCAGTATGATAGCACTATCTTTGTTTGTTTTGTGTCATGTTAAATGTTATTATTCTTATTTTTTGACATGTAAGCTTAAACAATTTTGCACTGTTTCAATCTCAACAAAACAATGCAGCAACGTTTTGTTGCTCCAACAAAATTTGGACCATAAACAAAGGTAAGAGAGCCTAATTTGTCATAAAGGAGTCCAAGGGTTAAAGATAAATTGTAGCAATTAATTTAACTGAAAACTCTACGTAAAGTCACATACCATCAGCAGGTACTGGTGGGAACACCAGAGCTGTAGAGGTTAACGCAAACGAAGCTGTAGGTTTGAGCGAAGACAGTCTGATGGTGTGAACCGTCGTGTCGTCTCTAAACATCTTGACCTTGAGGCTGCGTAAATGTTCAGCACTCTCTGTGGTCACATACACCGACACGTCTGTACGAGATATTGGGCGGAACACTATCATGTTCAGACCATGGACATCTTCCTTTGATACCTGGAGGGATATAATTAATATATGGTTGTTATTTAGTTTAATTTACTCAGACTGAAAGTGTTACTTATTATTTTATGAAGTACAGTAGGTTAAATAATAAATAGTAACAAGAATTATGACATTCATTCTTGTAACTAATTTAAAATAAATATCAAGGACATTTCCAGGTTTTCCAAATTCAAAATTTCCAGGACAAAACTTGCTGCTTAAAATAAGTATTAACTTACTTGTTTACTGTACCAACTAGGAAATCCATACAAACAACTGAAACAACATAGTGTTTAGTCATACATAAGCATCTGTATTCAATGATTTTTAATTTGTCAATAGTAAAAAAAAACAATAGGATTAAGTAATAAATGTCATTACAAAACGGAGTGTGAAAATTAGTTATTTAGTATGGAGTGGAACCAACATTAAAATTTTGATTGGTGCTATAAATTGCTATAATTTTTGTATAACAGGCTTACCCCGAATGTAAAAGTGTCCATCTGTGCACAAGAATCACTAAAACTTTACATTTGTGAGGTTAAGGCCCATGTAACATAGAGCACAATAGGATTTTAAGATTTGTTTGTGAGGATAGCAGGCTTACCTGAATGGGAAAGAGTCCTGGCACAAGAGACACAAAACTTAGAATATTTCACTGCCACTGACAGCATTCTCAACTAAGGATGAAAATGCTGTCAGTGGATGTGATATATTCTATTGTTTTGTGTACATAGTGTTAAGTGTTGTGTCTCTTGTGCCAGTTTGGACTCTACCATTCAGTTTAGCTGGCTATCTCCACAAAAATCCCAAAAATTTACACATCAGGCAAAATTAGAATTTTTTTATCTAATTGATAGTATTTTCAACCAAAGGATGTTTGATTTTGGAAGAGAGATGTCTTGGCATAAAAGGAATACTGTATGTTTTTGTGTTTCTTAAGCCATGGTGGACCCACCTAAGTAAAAATGCTATCGTAACAAAACTCCTTATAGTTTACAACAAGTAGGCCTTTCTGCTTGGCTTAGTTATGTAAAGGTTGGTATCAGTATATGGCATAAATTAGTGGATCCTAATTGACAGCAGTACAATTTGTTGGGGGGCTTAATTTAAATACGTTTGTTTTCATCGTAAATTTGACTTCAACTTAATATAAAAATGGAAAATCTCAATCTATCCATTTTTAAAGGCTAAAGGATCTTGACCTACTGACAATGTTAATGTTTCCATAGAAACTACTTATTTAATTCATTCCCTGGTGCAGAAAATGAATGCAGGATGAAAATTTTCCTCCTGTCAAAATTATTTGAGGAAGAATACAGATTCAAGAAAGCTAAGTAAATTTGCTCCATTCCAGAAGGTACTATGTAGAGCAGGTCTAGGAGATGAGACATCACTAAAAAATTGGCAGAATTCTTCCGTTCTTGTCACTACTGATAAGAACTAGAAGAGGATCACTATAGTAAACAAGCAAGTAGCAACTTCTGGGGGGAAGTAGGAGGTTATAGAACTTCACGGAGACCTAATGTTGTATTGCTCCAGTAAAACAAAAAGTACCTATCCACATAGTTGAAACCATGAAAGGATTGTTTAAAGTAAAATGCTAAAGGATTTGCCATGGAAAAATGTTTGAGAAACATGATGAAATGTAGGAGATGAAAGCAACCATGGATGAGCAGATTGAATATCTGAGGAGAAACTTCAAGAGGAAGAAACTGAAGAGTTCTACAACAACACCGTGAGCCGATTGAAGACACGTGGACATTGAAGGACAAGTCCTGAAGATGGAACAGATGAGTTAGAACCAACTTGTTAGTGTTAAGTATGCAATGTATCTAGTATTAAGTATCTTTGTACCTAGTGTTAGTATTTATTTGTTTGTGTATCTTGTAATAAAGTATCCGTGCGCTTTCCTACTTCAGCGTATACGGAGCGTCCCCTGGGTGGCGGATAGGGGGAAGGTCGGTGGATCTGCTTGTCAGTCCTCCCGGCTAGGTCCAATGGACCCGCTGACCAGAAGTAGGTGAGGTCCTCCATTCATATTGGGGGTTGAGGTGACGGGCTAACCACCCTCCCTTGTAAAACAACCCTGGTTAAATATCACCTACAGAATGCCTCGGACTGCATGGAACACATCGGACAACGACCTTAGATGCGTCATAAGGACTTGAGATTTGAAGGTGGAACGTTCGCTCTCTGGCTGTGACAGTTGCTGTGGACATCATTAGCAGAGAACTGGAAAAGTACAAAATGGATGTGGTAGCCCTGCAGGAAAATAGGTGGCCATTTAATGGAATCATTAACGCTGG